ATCTTGTTTAGATAAAACTGAAAAAATATGAGTTTTTTTGTACTAATACCTTTTAATGACTAAAGTACTGACCAAGTATAAGTAAGATTGGCTTTGCCGTCAATGTAATAAACTTTAAAATTGCTTTGAGAGGTTTAAAGCCAAATGGCTTAAATTAATTAACTTGTTTAAAATTAGTCACCATTAATTATCAATAAAACTCTTAATTATCTTTGTAATAATCAAATTTTTAATACTGCAGCTGTCTTTTCTAAAATTAAAATACTATAAATAAAATAAGATAAAAAATAAAACCAATTAAATAAAATTGATTTTCGAAACTGACAACACTTACGAATAAATGTAAATGAAATTATTTATTATCATTCTTGAAAAATTCAAGGTTGGTAATTTCTAAATTATATGATAAACTATAATAAACTGCAATTTAATTGCTTAAGATACGGATATTGCATTATATATTTTTATTTTTTTTTATGTCTAAGTAATAGACTAACGCTGAGAAATGTGTAATGTCATTATTTGTCATGTGAGGTTTACATCATTATGCTTTTAAAACACATATCGAGATTACTCAATAGACGCTTAATCAGAAAAATTTATCAGAAGTTATATGGTTGAATATATATTCTTGGTGAGGAGATAGGTCTATCTAGTATCTATTCTTTTTATTCTTTGAGTCATGAAACCTGTTTAGACGAATCCAGATTATTGTTGATTATATCAAAAAACTTACAAAATTCTCAAAGAAAATTATTTGGTTCATATGATGCAGGTACTTCTCGGATAAAGAATCATAGAAATACTCAAGGAAAACAAATCACAATGAGAACTGAGATCTCAAAGCATAAGTTTGATCAGTAGATGGTTAATTAGGAATCTAAAACAGCCGTACACCTAAATCTATGACTCTAAATAATTAATTTATAACAAAAATTGATATAGACTATAAACTACAGACATGCTATAGTCGAACTACTGGTATCAAAAAAATATTTTTAAAACTCACTCATTAAAACTATAAAATTTTTAACAAAAATAATCAAATTTAATAGAGCTACGTAAATTATCAATAAGTATTAAACATATATTTAATAAGGATTAAATAAATATCAAATAAGCTTAATATAAATACTTAATATATTAAAAATAAATACAATATTTATTAAACTTTCAAAAAATATTTATTCAACTTTAAATAAATAAAACCTTTAAATAAATATTTTATATAATTTAAATAAATATTTAATCAACTTTAAATAAATATTTTATAAAAATTAAATAAATATTTAATGAATTTTATATATATATTCAATAAATTTTAAATAAATATTTTATAAAAAATAAATATTTAATAAATATAAATAAAATAAACCTTTTAGTAAGTAATCTTATGAACTTCAAAATAAATATTTATAACAGTTGTATATAAATTTAGTGAACCTCAAATAATATTTTAAAAACTAAAATAAATATTTAATTGTTTCCCAAATAAATATTTAATAACTTTTAAATAAATATTTCTTAACATTAATAAATCTTTTATAAACAAAATTAATAAATTTTAAATAAATATTTAACGAACTTTAAATAAATATTTAATTAACTTTTAATATTTTATAAAAATTGTATAAATATTTTATAAATATAAATAAATATTTAATGAATTTTTAATAAATATTTTATGAACTTTAATTAAATATTTTATAAATATTATATTTATATTTAGTGAAATTCCAATAAATATCTTATAAAAACTAAATAAGTATTTAATGAATTGTAAAGAAATTTTTAATTAACTCTAGATAAATATTTTATAAATATTTAATAAACATTAAAAGAATATTTACATTTAATAAACATATAAATATTTTTTAAATATTAAATAAATATTTAATAAACATTAAAAAAATATTTTATAAATGTTAAATGAATATTTAATAAACATTCAAAATATATGTTATACCATATATATTAAATAAATATTTAAACTTCTAGTAAATATTTTA